AACACAATTTTTTTATGCTTTTGTCTATCTTAAAAGTTGATCCTTACTCTTAAAATTTTTATAAAATTTATCAAATTTAAAACTATAACGGTTAAAGCTTTGTTGGAAGTCACAAAATTCTCCACATAGCCATTGATGTCTTTTAGAGACTGAAATCAACTTTTATATAAGACAAAAGCGTAAAAATTATGTTTGTCAAGTGGAAAGATTGCATTTAGAAAAGTTGTTTGAACACAAAATCTAAGTGGGAAACACAAAATAAAGAGACTTAGATTCCAACTTCATCAAGCGCTTTCGGCTGGTCTGTTTTTTATTAATTAACTAGGCAGGTAAGGCCGTGATGAGAGGAAATCAATTAGACTTAATTCAATCCAATTTCTTCCGAATATATATGCATAACTAACTTGGTCTTTTAGTAAGCGAAAAAGAGAAAGTTATTTAGACTGATTGACACTTAATCAAGAGGGGCATCATCAGTAGGGTCTGCTACGTTCATAAATTATGTCAAAGTTAGCCAGCACTCATAAAAAGATATATCTTTTAAACAAAATAAAGTTTAGGTGTGAACATTGTTGTATATTTGAGTTCCCATTTAGGCATCCGTAAAGACTAGGAAATCCGTAAAGACTAGGAAATTAAAATTTCTAGCACAACCTCATATACATACATAACTGATTAAATTAGTGTATGCAAAAAAAAAAACAATATATGGTTGCTGTAACAAAACGAATGGAAAAAGAGAAAAAGAAAAACAATTACTTTTAACAAAAAAAAAAAGTGTTTTAAGGGTAAATTGTACATTAAAAGTGCAATTTATCTTATAAATTTATTAACCTACTCTCAATAAATTATTTTTTATATTACTTCATTCAAGTTTTTTTAACAAATTTATAAGACAGAATGCTCTTTTAATATATAGTTTAGACTATAAGACAAAAATTATATTTTTAATATATAGTCCAAACAATAATACATAAATCCGTACTTAATTTTAATAACAATTACATTTTTCATCCGAGTGTGCAAAAGAAAAAATCGTATTTGCATCGTGACTGATCTTCCACTGAGGAGAATGGTGAAAGTTTTCTTCTTTTTTTTTTTTTCTTATGAAATATGTGCCGTTTTATTTATTATTATAGAACAGGATGAGTACCATATTACTCCAACAGCTTATCTCCTGTTACAATAAGCACTATATGATCTGGGACTTCTTCGATCCAAACTCATCATCCTCAGCATGTAAGGCACGTTTGGCTAGTTCATGGGGCAGCAGCGTTGCCGGTGCGACCGATATGCTGGATCTTACAGTGGGCAAAGGAAGACATTAAGGTTTTAAAATCCTTAATGATGGAACTCAGGCTTGAGGGAAACTGCAACCCATTGAGAAATAGTGAAAGTTATTTTATTTTATTTTATTTTTTATCGGCATAGTGAAAGTTATTGTAACTAATAAAATAGCAAGCCTTTCCCATATCCTCTCATTTGGCATGTTTAGTGAAGCTTAAAAGTAAATTTATTTATGACTAAAAATGTGGTCTTTAGAATTAGAAATGCTTGATAGATAGGACTAAAATTTCTAATACTCAATAAAGCTTTTTTCAACCCACTAGATAGCTATTAGCTATAAGGGATGGTTTTAGCAACCAATTGTCTAGAGACAAACCTTTACCTCACAAAAATACCTAACATTCAATATTAGACAAGAAAACATAATGGGGAATTGTGAGTGAATCTGATATATAAATATGAAGAATAACCACTACTAACAACTTGAATTTAAATTTTTGAGAACTTGTGAACCTTAGTTTAAAAAGTTATTAAGGCAGTGGTAGGTTTCAGTTTAAATCATTTTAGTTGATATTAAAATGGCTACTTCATGCAAATGTGTACCTATAGTGACCATTACACCCAATAATAATGTGAATCTCACATCACTTAAAATATATCCTATACTAGTGGATTAGTGGGGTTAGTTTTGATTGTGTTTAGATTTGGTGAGGACATCAAGCATTTAAGTAGGAAGATGATAACACCTTAAATCCATCAGTGGGTTGTAAATGAGTCTAAATAATACATGTGGAGACTAATCACCACTAACAAATACTAAATTATAGAATCAATCATAAAAAATAATATCAAGAATTAAAAAAAAAAAATAAAAGGAGATTATTTTGCGCAGTTGGAGTGTATTGTTTTTGCATAGGTACTCTATTTCGTTGACTATGATTATTATTTATTCAAAATATAATTACATATAAAGGAAATTGAAAATCTTACTTCACCAAAGATAATGAACCTTCAAACATCCTTAATTTATCAGCAGGTTTTTTTCTTCTTTTTTTTTGAGTTTACTTTCATGGCATAGAATGATATATTGTTCACAATTTGGAACATAAAAGTAATTGAAAACTGTATAAACACAATTTTTTTATGCTTTTGTCTATCTTAAAAGTTGATTCTTACTCTTAAAATTTTTATAAAATTTACCAAATTTAAAACTATAACAGTAAAAAGCTTTGTTAGAAGTCACAAAATTCTCCACATAGCCATTGGCGTGTTTTCGAGACCGAAATCAACTTTTATAAAGACAAAAGCGTAAAAATTATATTTATCAAGTGTAAAGATTGTGTC